GCATTTTGGAAAGTTAGTAAACGGAAACATTTCTCACGGACGGACGGACGGACGGGTGGGAGGGAAGGATGGAGGGACGAAAGGATGGGCGGACGGACAAAGGTGACATTTTAACATATCCTCTACACGTGGTTTATACTTAACATGATGACCAACCCCAGTCTCACCAGCTACCCACGCGAGACAAGAGACTCCCGGCTGTAATATGCAAAGTGTGTGTCGTGACCTCACACAGTAATAATTTATTAATCATATGGATGAAGGTAGGAGGAGCGGGTAGCAAGGGGGGGGTGGCTGGAACAGGTGGGTGACAGGGGTGAAAGGAAGAGAAAGGTGGGAGAGAGATTGGGTGTCAGGGAGGGGTGGGTGGCTGGAACGGGTGGGTGGCTGGAAGGGGTGGGTGGCTGGAAGGGGGTGGGAAGGTGGCTGGAAGGGGTAGGTGGAAAGGGGGTGACTGGAAGGAGGGGTGGCTGGAAGGAAGGGGTGGCTGGCAGAAAGGGATGAGTCACTCAGTGACTGGAAGGTGAGTGGCTGGAAGGGGCGGGTATCAGGAAGGATGGGTGGCAGGAAGGGGCGGTGGGGTGTCAGAAAGGGCGGAGGTGGATGGAAGGGGAGAGTCAGAAAGGGCGGGGAGGCTGGAAGGGGCGGGGGAGCCAGAAAGGGCGGGGGGTGGCTGGAAGGGCAGGCTGGCAGGTGGGAGGGGGATGGGGCTGGACCAGTCAGCCTGCATCACCTGACCTTTACCTGAGTGATGCCTGATGACTTATGATAACGAGACTTGAATTTAATCAAACCTGGAGGCGAGACGGTCAGGCAGCAGCTCTCCTTGTCTGGTTTGTTTATCAATAACTGAAGAATCATCGCCTCGCAAAACACCAACTTCAGAGAGGGAAATTTCCGGTGGATCGTAATTCTGGGGCCTAAAGTTCCATATATTTCTAAAAAGTTTCAGCTGATTATAACTTTAGATAATATAAGTTTAATTTCAGGTGATAGCAGTTTTAGGCCACCAAGTACTGTATGTTATTAGGGAAAAAAAACCCTTCAAGTTTCGAAGGGAAGACATTTTCCCAATTGAATTTATTTACAGGTTACAGCTACGGTTTATGACAAGACGATAATAACTGTTAATCCATATCACCTTAGAAGCTTAGATTATCTTACTTATTTAACTCCAAGATCACAAGTTTACGTTTTAGCATTTTTGGGGCTAACATAATTTATTTTTACATTTCTTTGTTCAACCTGAGAGACGAGGCTGCAGGTTTAAAGTATTCAGCAACAATACCTGGGTCTTGGCGCCGTCTTATACAAACAGCCCAAGTGTTTGGTAGTGGAGGCAATCTTATATACTTGATTGTAAAGGCAGAGTGTTAAGTACATGTCTAGTGTTAAATTAACCCCAGGTTATACAAGTCCAGGTTATACAAGTCACTATGGAGAGAAACTGGCACAAACTCCCCAATATACTGAAGCAATATACTATACTCATTTGGCATCTTCTTAGGTTACAACTGTACGCCAAGTTTCTTTAAAATACAGATCTTATTTCTTCGAGCTAGTGCATTCACAACACCCCCCATTCACGCACTCACGCACGTATAGACCATACCCACACACACACGGGTAGTATTTCCATGCATATCCGGTTTAACCTACATTACCTCCACCCAGAAAACAAACAAATACAACAAATAAACAAACATATATCAAACAAATAAACAAACAACTATAAACAATTCTGAAATACTGTACATTGACATATTCTAAGAGTAGCATAAAATCACATTATTAAAAAGAAATACATTATCGCCTTTCTGGACACCCTCGTTCCCCGGTTAAATAATAACACCACTGAAACATAATTACTTTCCAAATACACTTTTTATTCAGTATAGTGAAGGTACTCACATGAAAAAAATAATTATTACTTGTATATGAATCTGTTATTTTATCTAAGCTACTGAAAATATAGTCGGTGATTCGGGTGTTTTAAAAGTGTTCATTTCACGCGGCCTTAGTCTAGCAGGTAACCAGATAATTCGTCTGGTCACTGCGCTACACAACCTATTATCACAGTGAAAAATACTCAAAATATTGCGTGTGTGTGTGTGTGTGTGCGTTAGGTTCTCGATTTTACTTTTTCACTGTAAACTCACTTTCCTTAAATCTCTCAGTGACCGTCGCATCTTGTTTATACCCACCGACCAACAGTGCTTTCCAGATCCTATGTTTCCTCTACATTATTCTCTGCTCAAAAGGTTATTGTCTTAAGCCATCATCCCGGTACATACATTTTTTACCATTTAATTATACATCTTTGGCATCCATGAAGTAACTAGAACTTTAAGAGCATGGGCTTGGCCGGAAGTGAAGTCAGAGGTCAAGACAGAGCTGGGCAGTACGAGAGGGTCTTACTGAATTCCTGAGCGGCTAAAAGTTGCACCACAAGTCTGGACTCACTTTTGGGCTCGGCAAAAATATTCAGGGGTGTGTATTAACTTTCTTGCAACATGAACAACCGCGATAGTAAAATCATCTTTTTTTTTTTACTCCGAACTGGAATACTAAATTCAACCGAGTCATAATTCCTATAAGGAGGTAAACTTGGAGGAGACCTGATAGTAATATTCACGCTGGTTGATGTCCAGGATGTTGTGTTTTTCACCACCAGCTCGTCCGTCCACTTGCCTGGGATCTACACCGAGTTTATCGTACATGAAGTGGAGTCTAACAGCGAGGGGCCCGACGGTATCATTAATCACATGTTTATGCTCAAAAACTGGGCGCCAACCTGGATGGATGATCTTACATTTACTGGTAGTCTTAGCTGCATATATTAATCTTGGAGACTTCGACGCTGACGTAAGGAGGGAAGGAAGGAAGGAAGGAAGGAAGGAACATCCCCCCCCAAACTGTGTTATCTACTGTATATCTTATGAAACTTTTATATTTCACGCTGGCTCCATAAAGTAACGGGCGGAGATATCCTAAAGTACTAAATCATTTGCTAAAGTGAGGTAGTAACTTATCAAGGTAAATCTATTGAATGAACTTGTAAGAAAAATAAAGGTCCGGATTATTCTTTGAAATTTGATGAGAAATGGGATGATTCTTAGAGTGTACTGCACATTAGGCAGTGTCCAAGCGTAACATTATTCCCACAGTCTGAAAACCACTTCACAAGGTTGATCACTGGATGAACTCATGAGGAGATAATATACTTCAATACACTAGTGCCATTTTACACCATTATCAGCCAGTGGGAAATGTTATAGTTGGTGGATGAGAAGATGAAAACAATACAACAACAAAACAACTAATACAGTGGGACCCAACGTACCACCTGGCGGTACCTCACCTGTATCATACATTAACATTTGACTTTGCACCGAAAATCCTGTTTTATGAAAAAGTTGTCAACCAACATCTTTTAAGCACAAGAGGATTGTCTGAAGTGGTAGATATCTGTAAGTTGGGTCGTAATCTGCTTTTATTTAGAGTAATTTAAAGTAACACATTTAAAGTAATACTTCTCACTGTCAGTCTTTCATATGTTATTTCCTCAAGTCACTGAGTTAATACTAGCTTGTTTGTATTTGCGGAAAACCAAATCAGAATCGGGTAACAAACGTATTAGAAAATAAAATGTATGAGTCGGCGTAACATTGTAAGTCAACATGTACTTCAAATGTCATTATATTCTCGAACAGAATATAAAAAACGATTTTAGATATCATTTTCTTTCAAATCTGTCGAGTTTGTGTATGTGCAACGAAACATTTATTCGGGAAGTCGCAATATGTTGGTCCCATCCGTTTCAAAAGTCAATTGGTATTTCTTTTAACTCAGCTGAGAATACTCGAATAAGACCCAAATGCTGGCCAGGAATGGATCACCTGAAGGCTCTGCACTCCAGCTTACTTCACCTAAAGATTAACCTAACTTAACCTAAAATAACCTAACCTAACTTCATCCCCCCAAACAGAGTTAGGGTGGTTCGTCTTTAGGTGAAATAAGCTGGGGTGCAGATTCTTCATGTGATCCCAGAAACGTCCACAACTCACCTGCTGAAGTGAAAGAAGCCATAACACCTAAGAGTAAAATTAAATCAACTATGGTGGATCAAAGGGCTTGATGGTACACACCTGATACCTGGCGAGCACACACACACACACACACACACACACACACACACACACACACACACACACACACACACACACACACACACACACACACACACACACACACACACACACACACACACACACACACACACACACACACACACACACACACACACACACTACTACTACTTTGCTGTCCCTCGGAATCGAATATGACGATCATCCAGCTATGGTACAACGATATGAGTTATTAGGGATGTCAGCTTCATTGGTGAGTTTTGAGGTGATTAAAGAGGCTGATACGGGACCAGCACAGTTGTTCACAAACGTTGCCCATGTGGAGGGCCACATCGAGTGCGGAAGGGGCGGTGGCAGCGTCTTTCCGGCGTTGGCGCTTGTCTGCCTCGGTTTGCAGTCGGGCTAACTCGAAAGTATTGACACCTTCTCGTGTGGTGCTCCTCCAAGCGTTACGATGTAGAGTAATCGCTTCCCAGGTGAGGGAGTCAATTTGGCACTTTTTCAGGTTTGTCTTAAGACTATCCTTATACCTTCTCAATTGCCCGCTTGCGTTACGTTTACTATTCGTTAGGTGACTGTAAAGTAGCTGCTTTGGCAGTCTACTGCCGTCCATGCGGGTAACATGGCCAGTTCAGCGTAGTTGTTCCTGGATAATGGCTCCTACAGTTGGTGTCAGCAATAATACTGGTATTTGTTCTCTTGTCTTCCCAGCGAACTCGGAGAATGGAACGTAGACTACGTTGGTGAAAGTTTTCAAGTGCATTGAGGTGCCTCCTGTATGTGACCCCCCCCCCCCACACACACACACGAAGAAACAGACATATGCACATGTAACATCCATCCAATACTTACGTTCTCCTTGTAGCAGTGTGAGCGTGAGGTGACAGAGGCCGACTCCAGACCTCCAGGGACCGCCCACGACCCTGTTGAGACCGACGTAGATTGTGTCGCTGCGGGTCTCCTTGCCTCCTCCCATGCTAAACGTCGCCTCCCCGCTCACGCCGCCACGACGACCACCAAACTGTGCGTGGGCGGGAATACTGAATAACTGATATGCCTGATGCCTTATATTTGTTAGTGAATCAAATGCCTTTACCGGGTAATATGTCAGTCTGTGAGGAGTCATGCCAGGTAACGACAAAAGTGTACTTGAAAGCCTTTTATTTCCCCAGCTGTTCAGTTAGGTGCCCACAGCTAGGTGAAGTGGGGATGCCCTGGGTGCGAACCAGCTAACCCAATGACAAGAGGTGAGTGCTGTATCCGCTCGGCCACCACACCACTATAGTTATGTATTACACTTTGTTTTCCTCAGTTAATCTTTAAATTATCTCGTTTGGAGGTTCAGATTAAGTTTTTTTTATTATAATCCATTTTGTCAAACTATATCACTGTCTCACTAATGTTTTAAATGGAAATGTAATTGCCTATATGATGATCAAGTCAGTATATTCACACCACCTGCCTCAGTCTTCTGGGTGGTTTAGTTACACATGGTCCACTTTATAATTATATGGTACGACTGTTTGAGTAAAATGTTCAGACTCTTATTTTTACATAATATTGAGGAGGTATTAATTGATGTTAAATGTGCCGAGGAAACAAATCTGCCTGTCAATACATAACCTGCCAACAGCTCTGACAAACTTGACCAACATCTGACCATTTGCAACTTTCGTGGCTTTTCCTCTTCAGGTGATAAAACCTTTAGAACATAACCTAAAGGGTTTTGATGGACGCAATATTTTCAAAACATTACCAGGTCAGTTCAAATATTTATTGGATTCCTACAACAACCAGTCAAGCCAATCATATGACTGTTGTGGTTTTATATCTTAGAAAAAAATAAACATTGATCAATTTTAACCTTGCCGAAGTTAAGGTTAGGTTAGCTTACAGAGGTTACTGTGGACAAACTTGGTCATGTCTGCTAAGGGCTTTGGTATATTAATTGAACAAGAGGGACAGCCTGCTGGGTCCACCTCCTATCTATAGTTTTGGAGGAATTTAAGAGACATTAGCTGTACGTGCTGGAGTGTGTGACAAGGTCTTATCACGCCAGTAGCCAAATGAGGTTCTGAGGACTCGGCCATACCTGCCCTAGCCTGTTGAGTGGCCTTTTATGGTACAGCTGACAAGTGTGGACAGATCATTTTAGGTATTTCGTCATAGGGTATTATTAGGCAGCTGGACAGAAGGTGCTTGTCGGTACAGTACTGAACAGTATATGTGCTATAAATCCCTGACTTTGTCACACAATCATGGACATGTGTCCTTCGTCTCTTATACACAGCCCGACCTGATAAGACGCTGAGTGAGGAGTGTTATTTATAGAGTAGCGGCAGTTAGCGGCTGTGGTTGTTGATGTTATAATTACTGTAAAATGCATTACACTAAGGTCTTTAAGCGCGAACTAGTGATGTGTAAATAAACTAATGAACAATTAAATATTAACCCCTTGGGTACGAAGGTTCTCTCTGTGCTGAATAAAATAGTCTGATAATTGTCAACTAAAATAGTCTTCGTTAGTCAAATAAAATATTAAAAGTGGTGTCGAATTGTTAAGAGATTAAGAGAGATACGTGTTTCTGGTCTCACCTGCCTGCCGTAGCGCCACTCCAGCCGGTGATGGGAGAGGTAGAGGCGGACGTGGTAGTAAGGCTGCACCACGTTGTCTGTCACCGCTAACAGACTCCCGCCATCTAAGGACCCAGCCAGCATCTCCGACCCACGCCCGTACACACGCCACTGTCGGTTCACTATGTGTGCCTGAGAGGGACGGAGAGGCTTGGTGTGGGACATACAGGCCGGTCAAGAGGTAGCATGAAGGACAGTGGAAAATTTTGTCAACTGGTGTGAATCTGTGTGGTCCTAGATGACTATTACTGCCCAGTGTTAGTACAAAAGGAAATCTTCTCACTTCTGTCCCGGGCCAAGTATTGAACCCAAGACACAGTTTTTGAGAGGTACGTGCATTACAGATGTACCACCAACATTTCTAAGATAATCAAAGTTTAATGTACACGTAGCACTTTATCATTAGAATCACTATTCACTAATTATTTTCATTTTGACACTGATTCATTTATCGATGTTATCTAATGTTATTTTACTTATAAGTGACAGAAGTAATATCTGCTTAGCAACTCACGGTAAAAGTTAACATACAATTATTTGTGGCATTTTAAGTTACCTTTCGAGTGTGTTATCTGGCAGAAGAGGTATTATTACCAGTTTTTGGAGAGGTAGTGGGGTTAGGGGTGTCGAGAATGTACTACTACTACTACTACTACTACTTTCCACCACCACCACCACCACCAGGTTAGGTCCTCACCTCAGTATAATTGACGCCCTGGTAGCCGGTAGCGAGCGGGGAGTCGGCCAGGTGTAGAGTCCAGAGCCTTGGGGCCGAGTACTCCAGATCGAACACCATCGTCGGAGTCGAACCCGGAGCCACCATCACTTCCAGCACCGCCTGCCTCCCACACCACTCTGCCAACCATGTCTTCTGGGTATTATATATTCTTATAGTAGGATCCTGGGATGTACTTCAGGCCTATAGACTCTTATTGTGTTATTTGAAGGATGAATTATTTGGTGGTAGGTGTGTGATTTCCTTGCCACCAATCCCTCCCCTTGTTCTCTCCCCCTTTCTTACTCTCTCACCTCACCCATTTCCCCCTTCTACTGCCTCACCTCATCTCTGCCTTCTTCATCTCGTCTCCCTCCCCTTTCCACTCACTCACCATCCCCCTTCCCTCACCATCCCCCTCCCCTCACCTCCCCCTCCCTCTCACTGACCGGCCTCTTGCAGGAGGTTGGAGGACACGTCGGGGGCTTGGCTGGGCGTGGCAAGGAACTTGACCTGCTGACTGAAACCTCGGACGATCCCTGAGCGAAGGTCGATACTGACGGTGTCCCTGACGGTGCGGACTGCTCCTGTGGGGGTAGTGGTGGCTTAGTGGTGTTGAGAGAGAGAGAGAGAGAGTCGTAATCATTGTTGTTGTTTGTCAAGGAATAGTTCTTATATTATTCACGCAATGGTTAAAAAAGATTATACAAAGAAAGTTGTCATTGTTACTCCAGGAAGTTCCCTAAGAAAAATGAAAATAATCTGGACAATCAAATTCCAATTAGCTGATGGCGGCCATCTTACTTGACAAACCAAATTCTATTAAACAACTGTGAAATCTACGTCTTTTTAAGTTATTCAATTAACTTAGATGGTAGACTTATCCACAAACGGGTTTACAAAGACACTAGTCTAAAGAAATTGTGTAAAGTGAGAACAAAAAAAGGAGCGGCAGATATTTTTGGCTGATGTTCAACAATATTTACAAGGACTGACACATGTCACCTGGGAGAAAAACACAGATAACGCGTCAACAACTCAATTAAGACAATGTAACAAGGGGAGAACGGGCTGAGGCATAAGTTGTTGGACCAAGTTAGACTCTTAGTTAACAGTAAGAGCGACCTTACAAGAGTCTTATCAGAAAGGCCTATGACATGAAAAAAATGTGAAGGAACCACGGAAGTCTGACGAATAGCAGTTTTAAAAGTGCAACAGATACCGAGTGTACTGGGTGAGATAGTGTCAACATTTCTGCCAGTCATGAAGAAGCGGATACTCCTATAGTCTTTCGGGCATGTGAGGCAGCAGAACGTGTTGTTGTTGTTGTTTCAGAAGACTATAGTTGTCTGGCGAGATGCTGATGTCCTGTCCTTGTTCTGCTAAGATAAAATATTTATTATACGATGAAAACGATAAGAAAATACAAGAGATGCTCCCTAAGCCACCTGCAGCTTTAAGCAAAAGTGACACCAGGATAACAAAGATAATACCAAGACTGAGACTTCTTTAACACTTGGGGTTTTTAGGTGGTCTGGGGCACACGTCACTCTATCTCACCTACCTGATTAGAAAAAGTTATTGACTTATCACGATGAAATGTGGACCAGTTCGATACACGACCCTCCCAGCGAGTCATCACACCCACGACGACATCCTTCACAGCACACAACGACACCAGGTTGGATGGACATGTGAGCAATAGGGGTTGGGTGTAAAATGGGACTGCCCAGTATGGACCTTATGATCGAGCCACTACCTACACCTTAACTACCACAGTCACACATCAACGACCATCCTTAAAAACCCACATTAACCACCTTTAGGGATCCACCACCACACCACCATTACCACAACCAGGATCACCACTAGCCCCACCACAGAGTATGTGGTCTCGCTTAACCTCACACATTTAAAAGCCTCTAATTCATTTTCCACCCTAAAGGTTCCTCACACTTAAGGTCTCAACAACAAATAGGAATATCGTAAATTAAAGCTTATAAGGGAAAGCGAGCAGTGTTAACGCAGGACTTACGACCGTAGGACAAAGCGAGCAGCCTAAGTTCCGAAGTTGTCGAGAGGGAAGGGACGCACTTGAGAGGTAAAGATAGTGTTTGTACTAATTAGGAAACAGACGAATGATACATCACAGGTATATTTTGTATCTGAGTAGAGGAGCTGACGGTAGCAAGACGGTAGTAAGACGGTAGTAAGACGGTAGCAAGACGGTAGTAAGACGGTCAGACATCAAAACTAAAAACGATAACTTATAATTTACGATTGAAAGTAAATAACATTCGTCCACAAACTCTACGTATGAAGAACGAAAACAACATCAACATAGATTTTCTGTTACACGGTCAAACAATATCAAAACAAAATCCAGTCTTGGGGAAATTCCAGTAGAAAGGAAATTTCCCAATAATATTACAGTACAGTAAACATGAATGGCCTATGTACCAACAACTCAGGTTTTGCTTAACATTTGGATACACTGATTCGTCTAATTTAATGTGACTTAATCTAACCGAACCTAACCCACTTTAACATAACCTATTAACTTAACATAATGCGACGTAATGTAACCCAAATTAACGTAACTTAATCTTACCTAACGTGAATGTAAAGTTTCGTAATGTGAATGTATCAGAGGATGTTTTAAATAAGTTTTTATTTTACTGCATATGCCCATGGCGTTTAACCAAAAATAACAAAAGTTATCCCTACTTCTTTTTAAGGCTTAAGCAGACGATTATATCTGCACTGTACCACACACACACACACACGCGTATATGAATGTGACCGTGTGTGTGTGTGTGTGTGTGTGTGTGTGTGTGTGTGTGTGTTCCGAGAATCATGGATGTTTGTATATTGCATTAGTGCCTGTACACATGGTAAACATACAGTATAGGTCGATTGTTTCAGCAATCATCTACCATCCCAGGCACTACAGTGCTCACTTTGTACTGATGAAATTAATATAACATTTTCTAAATAAAAAATACAGTAATGTCCATTAAACTATATTAAAGAAATGAATGAGTTAAAAATTGTTCTAGAAACTTCAAGACTTTATGAAATGATATTTTCAAAATGAAAATACTGCACACGTAATCACCGCCTATCAGCTGTGTCATTGTTTCACTACTCACACGACAGCTGTAGTGTGTTTGAGGGACAGGCGACTGAGGTACTCTAGGACAGCGTCAAACAAGACCGTCCAGGGCATCACAAGGTGGGGAGGGTGCTGCAGCGTGTGTTGTGTCTTGATGGAACAACCAGACGATGTGGTTTAGTATAGGCCTACATGTACAGTACAGTACTAGTGCAGGTTATTGAATACTGACGTCATACGGTAACAGGTGGTGACGACTGGTGAAGGAACGGTTAAAAGGAGTTGTTAATGGGTTGGGTAGCCAGTGCGAACCAAGCGATACAATCCCACTGTTCCAATAACCTAACCTAACTTAAAGATAATTAATATCTGCAAATGCATATTCCAGGTGTGCAAATGCATGAGAGAGAGAGAGAGAGAGAGAGAGAGAGAGAGAGAGAGAGAGAGAGAGAGAGAGAGCACTGGAAATTGGACTTTATGTAACAGTAAGGGGCCTGATATCTCAAGGCTTCATCCCGGTTTCACTGGAAAGACGTGCGCAAGGCCAGAGAGCTTGACCTATAATAACAAGACAATTTATTTAATTTTATGTACGGAATGAATTACTTCGAGCTGTTGGGAAATGTTTATCACTTTGTTAATTAGGATTTAATGTAGTGATGTTTTGAGTGTGTAAAAATTTTGGCTCTATACCATAATAAATTTACATATACCTTTATGACAAGTCTTCTCTGGTATAGGGAGGTAGTGTGTGGGGCAGGGAGGTATTTGGGGGGAAGGGAGGTAATGTGTGGGGCAGGGAGGTAGTGTGTGGGGCAGGGAGGTAGTGTGTGGGGGCAGGGAGGTATTTGGGGGCAGGGAGGTAGTGTAGGGAGGTGGGGGGCAGGAGGTAGTGTGGGGCAGGGTAGTGTAGGGTGTGGGGCAGGGAGGTGTGGGGCATTTGGGGGGGAAGGGAGGTAGTGTGGGCAGGAGGTATTTGGGGGGAAGGAGGTAATGTGTGGGGCAGGGAGGTAGTGTGTGGGCAGGGAGGTAGGGTGCGGGGCAGGAGGTAATGTGGGGCAGGGGTAGTGTGTGTGGGGCAGGGAGGTAGTGTGTGAGGCACGGGTTTGTGTATGGGGCAGGCAGGTTTGTGTGTGGGGCAGGCAGGTGTGTGTGGGGGGGGGTCAGGCAGGTGTGTATGGGGTAAGGAGGGTGTGGATGGTAGAATTTGGCATTGCATCTCAGTAACGGGGGTTGAGAGGGGAGTTAAGGACGGTGGGGGGGAGGTTTGTCTGGACGTAAACACCTGGCCAATAAACTCACCTGGACAATCCGCTATCTCTCTATCTCCGCCTGATCAAGACAGTGTCATGCCACGAGGTAGCTCAGGTCTGCCCACGAGTGAAAAATGGACACAAGTTGCGCCTTACGGATCTCGGATGAAAAAACCAGTGTTCGCTTCGCTGGTCGAGGATGAAAGATCGCCAGTTTTATCGTCCAAAACACAGCCTTAAATTGTTTTTAATCTTGCACACCCAATCTTTGTGGCCACCACTTATTTAGTTTTGATAAATATTAATTTCAGGTGGACGTTTGCCTCGCTACATTGGGTATTCAAGACACGTGGTCAGGTGTTGTCGTGGGGGCCAGTAGTTATTCTCTGCTTTGGGATTCTTTATCTTACATTCACATTCACACTATTTCGTTATTTAATATTCTCGTATGTTTTCCTTTGATAGAGCCCAGCAAGTCTTTTTCTTAATTAAGTCTTTTTATTCTATTATATTAGGTATATTGCATTATTCCAAGCATCATTTTGAAGATTATTAAACTTTTCTTAAGTAAGTTTCCAGAATATCGAGCGTTCGGTTACGGCGGCGTGTGAGCCTGTCTGATTCTTCTCCCAGAGTTGCGGCGAGGCCAGACGTATAATCAATTACAAAATGTTGCAGACAGTTCAAAACATTTCCCCTTTTTTACACAAACATATTTATGACGAAAAATGACACAGATTAGCAAATAAAAGCAGAGAGCGATTGAAAGAATTGAATCGAATTTTTTTGCCACAAAATAATATCCAACTGGGCAAGGTGTGAGGGATAATCCTAAGATCAGATGGAGGGGGGAGGGAGTGACGGGATGGAAGGGATATTGTTGTACCGTCGTGAGAGTGGATGTATCAGGGGCTCAATCATGTTGTGATGCGCCGTGCACCTCCCAGCCATCATGCCCCGGTCAACACATCTAATCAATCACAATTATTACGTTGATATGCACTGAAAAATGGTCGAGTTCTTGGCATCTCCGAGCCGTACAACATTTAACCAACACAACGGCCGAGGCGTGGGAAGCCTGAAATATTATTATTATTTTTTTTTTTTACTTTTACGGAATAGCTGCGATTATTTATTTTATTTTAGGGAAGTTCAGATAATTTAAAAAGAAAAGATGGTTTACGCAGAATTATTTCCTTTGATGTAGAGGAAAAAGATT